AAGATAGGGAAAGGGACGAGGATGAAAGGGGATTGGAGGAGAGATAAAAAAAGATGTTTACAGTAACCGGTTAGAACCGATTTTATTCATTCAGACAGAAAAAAACTTTGAAAAGTCTTTAGAGAGTTAACTGAAGCGATTTACGCTTTTTGTTTTGATTTGCTTTTTCCTTTTTCTTTCGTTCGCTAGCCTCACCTCATACGTATATGTTTGTTTTTTTGTTTGTTTGTTGGTTGTCTGGTTGGTTTGTGTTTTTTTCGGAAGAGGATTTTGAACAAAAGTACTTGAAGGCTTTGGTAACCAACCGGATTGTGTTGACTTTAAAGAGTCTACTACCACTACCATCATCAACGTCGGAATCACCATCACTATTACGATCAACGATAACTAAAGCACTAGCAGAAGCAATAAAAAACAACAACAAAAAAAACAGCAAGACAACGGTGAAAACAGAGGGGGATAAACGGGGGCTGTGGTGGCGGTCAAGGGGCGGCCCGGATGGGGTTTAGGGCGCATTGCTGGTAGTTCGCGTACCAGGCAGTTCGAGCGCGTATCATCGCATATTTCGTGCCCGGGTGTGCTTGTGATCATCCACACATATAGACACACACATATAGACACACACACAGGCGTGGTGTCCCCCCGCGTACCAACCTCAAAAAATTAGACGCACATTTCAGATGAACAACCACCAGCCCCATTTGAATACATCAGTATCGCACAACTTCGAACCATTGGCCATCAGCGTAGTCACCGTAGTCGCTCCATATTTTCACTACTGCTAAACTTCTGGATTGCTATAGTTTACTGAATTAACTGGCTTTAATAAGCTGCCATTTAAAAATTTTGCCAAGTTTTAGCGGCAACATCTAGTGGACAGTAGCGATAATTAGTAATGGAAACGATAGAGATGAAGAAGTAAAATACCGAAAATTTATAACCATAGTTGTTTGGTGGAAACCGCTTTTTCATCTACCAGCAACTAAGCTTTTGCTTGTTGACTATATTGTGGTCAGTGAAGATTTTTTGGAACTGTATGCATATATGGTAGTTGTAGAAGTGGTTGGTATGCTTTATGTGTGATCTGCGCTTCTTAACATTTGTTTCGTGCGTGTAAAGGTTTTGAAATGATATCAGCGGAAAAACACTGTTTTTTGTTACTCCACAGTCTTTTTTTCATTAGTTTTTTTCTTTTTAAAAATACTATTTACTTGTTTAACCATCTTTAAAATTGGCAACATTTCTAGTGGGTAACTGTTACAAATTATGGTGAAATCTTAAATGTAGAAACCAAAAATTCTTTTAGTTTTTCTTTTTTGTTATATTAGTCGGTGAACTTTCATCTTCTCTCACGTTCTTGCTACCATTGACTTTTTGAATAGTAAGATTGTTTTTCGGAATGGACTGAAGAATTTTTTGCTGGAACATTTTGGAGAAGGAGGGGAGGGGGTGAACAACGTAGACTGTACAGATTATTAATTAATATTTTAAAATTGAATAAAAATAAGGAAAAAAATGAAAGTTGACGCAAAATTTTTTAATGCTTAGTTTACGTAGAAGTTACAATTAACTGGAAAAGTGTTTTTTATCTTTACCCTTTCACTACTACTTCTTTTGTTCAGTAATAATTTTCCGTTTCTGGTGTATATAAAGTTTCGTAAAATTATTGTTAAACTGAGCGAAAAAAAAAACTTTTTGGCGATGACGATGATGATGATGATGATACACACATTGACGATGAGTATTACTGGAAAAAGCAACTGCTTTCTCCCACCCACCTCCGTTTCTTCACTGTTTCATTCGCCCACACAAAAACGTTTCGAGCAATGAAGAATCTTGAAAATTACTAGAAGCGAAATTGTTGTTGCAATTTTTTTTGGTTCAAATGTTTTTTGGTGATTCATTTTTTAACAGTTAGGAAATACTGCTTATTTTGTTGCTATAACTTTATGATTTAAATTGTTGGATTTTTTTCTTCTGGTTAGATACATTAATTTGGTAGCGGTCAACAAGAGAGGAAAAATGATATTTATCTCTTTAACAACAAGGAAAACAACGGCAACGACACAAAAACTTTTTCAAATGCTTTTAAGTGTCCGGTTTTTTATGCTGCCTTTTCACAGCTGCCTTTTTTTCTTGTTTAAGAATTTACGCATTGTATATTTGTGACGATTATTCGTGGTAAAACCGCAACAAGCATTATATAGATTTCTGTGTTTTCTGCTACTGCTGCAGTTCTTATGCATGCAGTTTAGCCGGTATTGCTGTTCTGGAAGCTCAGTGTTCAGCACACGAACCTGCTCCCTGAGACCTCTGCTGCGACAGAATACAGTGTCACAGCAAGAGTCCTCAGGGTCCAGGTCGATAGGTGCTTGTAATGACTCGTCTCCCTGGATACTTCCTACTGATCCATTTGTAATCCATATGCATACTCTGCAGTTTGTTGTTCATCTATGCTTCAACGTCATTACCATCAAATTCTATTTTGTAAGCCGCTGTGTGGTATAAGAAACTTCACCATCGCTGTAGCAGTTCTGCACAACGACTTGTGGTAGTCCTTGTTTTTCGAGGTGATATCTACTTTCCGAAGATTGTTGATCGAATTCTCGAATTCAACGAAAAACAATTCTGTTCTTTAGCATACCACAATTCTGTGACAGCCGGATAGGTCATGATTATCAGGGAAGAAAATGTTGAAAAAGTTTTTTTTTTGCTTATTTGCTTTTTTTAACATCAAAAATAATTTTTTCAGTACTGTCGGTTGACGTACTGACTAAATTTCAAAAATTACTGGTTAAAAATTTTGTAGATTTTGTAGCAACTATCATTTGCAAGATGAAAGCAGTTGAGGTTTTGTAATGAATTTGCAGTATTTCGTATCTTCTTCTAACCACAAATTTACATTTAAAAAAAATTTTTTTTCTTCATGGTAGGTGAACCGGTTAAGGTTTTTCAGCTTTTTTTTTTTTTTTTTTT